ACCCATAAGAACCATGACCACCCGAAGCCCCATGGGCTACCTGAAGAGCTGACTAAATCTGCCTAAGAGGATGGCCTCTACCCAACACCACTGAAGCCACCGAAATGACGAGGCCTCTTCTCAGATGTCGCCCCTCTATCCTGACCACGAACCATCTCGATCCGTCTAGCAATCTCTATGGCCCTCCAGAAAGAAATATCATCTCCGTCTCCTTGGTCATCTGAAGCTTGATGTCAAAGGTGAGACCATCAATAAACCTCCCCACCCTCTCTCTATTAGTGAGAATCAAAATAGATGTGTGACGGGCTAGGTCCACAAATCTGGTCTCGTATTGGGTGACAGTCATGCCACCCACCTGAAGGAACTCTAACAGCCTACGGTACTCTTTCCTCAGAGTGAAAGGAATAAACTTCTCTAGAAATAGCTGCGAAAATTGATCTCCGGTAAGTGGAGGTGCACCAGCTAGTATGCTCCGCTCAAAATCCTGCCACCACCTCTTGGCAGAACCGGTCATCTGGAACACTGCAAAGTCAACCCCATTGGTCTCAACAATACCCATGTTGCGTAACACCTCGTGCCAGTGGTCTTAGTAATCTTGTGGGTCCTCAGAGGGTGCACCGCTATAATGAACAAGAAAAAGCTTGGTGAACTTATCCAACCTCACCAATCCCTCAGAAGACATCACGGACCTCTCCCTCGGCTGTGTAGCAACAACGGGATGAACTACCCCAACTGCTAGAGCTTCCAGAGTCTGGTATAGTGGAGCCATCTGATCCAGAGTGTGAGTGGCGGGAGTCTATGCTCCTCCCCCAACTTGAAAGACGGCTGGTGCCATAGGAAATACTCCGTTCTGAGCCATACTCTCCATGAGTCCAACTAAGCGGACTAGAGCGTCCTGTAGTACGGGAGTGACAATGAATCCGTCTAGGACCTGGGCAGGTCTGACTGGTGCGGTCTGAACTGGGACCTACTCCTCATGGTCAGTCTGAGGCTCCACCATGGGTGCTGCTGCTGCTCGTGCTCTAGGCATAGCTCTGCCTCTGCCCCTACTTCGGCCTCGACACCTACCCCTAGTAATAGCTGCAATAGGTGACTCGCTCTTGCCCGATTATAGACGTTGTGCGAGTTCTCACCATCTGGGAGAGAACAAGAGTAGAATAGTTCAAACATCGATAATGGAAACAAGTCGCACGATAAAGAAAGAAGGAAGTGAAATTTTCCTAAAGCCTTATAGCCTCTAGAATATAAGTACAAACTTCTCCGTACCGATCCTACAGACTCTACCAAGCTTGCTCATGACTTGTGAGACCTAGGCAACCTAGTGCTTTGATATCAACTTATCACAATTCGGAATTCCCATCCTCGGGATTGAAATGGCACCTAATATTTCACTTGCTAGGCAAGCCAACGTTAACTATATTTTTTAACCAGTTTTAATAATTTAAATCAGATGATAACAATAACAACCGAATAGTCTGAAATAAGGTGATAAAATACTAAAAGACGTAATCCAAATACAATCCTAGAAACTGGAGTCACAAATGCATGAGCGTCTTGAGTACTACAGATAATAGTTTGAATAAAACACAACAATTTGAATCTAAATAAACAACAATGATAGCATATAAGGGGACTTCAGGGCTGCGGACACCGTGCAACTATACCTCAAGTCTCCACAGGTAGCTCGTTCCGAGCAATCTCACTCAGCGCTGTTGGGACCCACTCCAGTATTTGCATAAGAAGTGCAGAGTGTATTATGAGTACAACCAACTCCATGTACTTTGTAAGTGCCGAGCCTAACCTCGATGAAGTAGTACGAGGCTAAGGCGGGCCACTTACAATAACATGCATGCAGTAATAATAATAACAAGAAAGCAGTAAATGAAAGTAAAGCAGTTAACTCATGAACGAACTCGAAATCCAACTACCGGTGAGCCCAGAATAACAAGTCTCATAGTCTCATATCACAATATCGAGGCAAATTCAACATATCATAAACAAGTACCACATGTACAATTTGTTGCGGCGTGCAACCCGATCGCACCATATCATCATCTGTCAATATCATAATTCGTCCTTATTCTACTATTTCAATTCATTACCTTTCAGTTTCCGTTGCAGCGTGCAACCCGCTCCCCAAATCATTTCAATCAACGTAGACAATTCAACAACCAAATTTGCAAGAATTTCTACATCAAGAGGGTAAACGTACAATGCAATAAAGAACCGCATAATAAATCAAGAATCTCAACAACTCAAAGTCTCAACTTTACCAATTCATCGATATCTATCAACTAAACAACTCGTGCAAGGGAAACCACATTTATAGAATGCAACAAATATTACAAAACAACAAGGAAAGTAAATCATGTGACAATTTAGGTATGCAAGTAGAGGCAAGTAGCAAATAATCATGGAGTCATAGAAGTGACAAACAATTTAATACAAAAATAATTAAATGACAAGTAACAATTATGGCATAGAAGTCAGATAAAGCATGTAACAATTAAGGCATGAAACAAGATATATTATGAAATAAATGAAAAATATGGAAACAAATATCGTGACGGTGTATATACACTCGTCACCTCGCATATACGTCGTTTTCCCACATAATTCACATAACACATAGTTCTAGGGTTCCTAATACCCTCAATTCAAGGTCAGATCCAACACTTACCTCACTCCGCGAATCAAAGCAATCAATCAACCACAACCTTGCCTTTCGATCAAACCTCAAAACCAACCAAATCTAGCAAATTATCAATAAAATGATTCAAAATAAGTTTTAGAAACTACCCAATAATGAAAGAGGTTCAATTTTCATCATTTTTTAAAAAGTTAACCCCGGGCCCGCATGGTCAAAACCCGAGGTTCGGATTAGAATCCGATTATCCATTCACCCCCGAGCCCGATTATGTGATCTGTTTCAAAATCTAACCTCAATTTGAGGTCTAAATCTCAATTTTACAAAAATCACCAATTCTACCCAAATCCCTAATTTCTACCATGAAAATCCTAAATTTGATGTTAAAATCTCATGAAAAGTAATGGGGAATTGAAAAGAAATGGATTAAAGTCACTTACCAATGAATTTGGGAAGAAAAGTCTCTTGGAAAATCGCCTCTAGAGTGTTTAGGGTTGAGAAATGGTGTAAAATGAGCTATGTCCCGATCTTTTCCTCTTTTACCCAGCTGCAGATGTTGCAATTGTGATGTCTTGTTCGCAATTGCGAAGTCCATGTCGCAAATGCGAACTATGCATTAGAAGCCCAGATGTCACAATTGCGTAAATGCGAAGATGCCTAAACTCTACATAGCATTGCAATTACGATGACAGAGTCGCAAATGCGAACACAGGACACATCGCAAATGTGACTCTTTCCTCGTAAATGCGAGAACCCCTGTCCCCAGCCCATGCTAAAAAATGTGATGAGGTTATCGCAAAAGCGAGGCTCGCACATGCGATACATGCAGCAGACACCAGAAGTGTTTAATGCACCAGCAGTTCAAGTCATCCAAAATTCTTCCGAAACTCACTCAAGCCCCTCGAGCTCCAAACCAAATATGCACACAAGTGTAATAACATCATACGAACTTGCTCGCGCAATCAAATCACCAACATAACATCTAATTCTACATCGAACATCAAAATGAATGGAATTTCAAAGTAAATTCAAGAACAACTAGAATCATATCTAAGCGTCCGAATCACGTCAAAGCAATTGCGAATTGCACCAAAATTTGCAGACAAGTTTCAAATAGTAATACAGTCACATAACATGTCTCAACATCAAAATCCGAACCCGTTAGCTAAGAAGTCAACTTACGATCGAACTTAGGAAATTTTCAAACTTTCAAAATACTAATTTTCGGCAAAATGAGTCAAATCATCTAGGGACCTCCAATATCAATTCCGGGCACATGCCCAAGTCCAAAATCACGATACGAACCTACCGAAATTGTTAAAACACCAATCCGAGGTCGTTTTCATAAAATGTTGACCATGGTCAACTCAAGTTGGTTTTAAAGCCAAAATCATGTTTACTTCAAAATTTTCACATAAAAGCTTTTCAAAAAGCAACACACAGCACACACACAAATCGAGAAACATCAAATGGAGGTCTCTATATTTATATTGATTATGTAAAAGCTTTAATAAATTTTGTATTTATGTTTATATTTGAATTAAAAAAATATACTTAATTGATGTTATTCACAATAAATAGTTATAAATCATTTGTCTAATTGACTTATACTAATTGTAAAATGAATTTTTATACGATCTTTTTCTTTAATTAACGTTCAAAAGCACTTTTGACAAAAAATGCCTTTTATAAAATTTATTTTACAAAACCCAATCAAAACAAACAAAATATTATTTTCCAATAACTTGAAGAAACTATTATGTAATAATTTCCCCCTCTCACATACTCCCTCCGTCTCATAATATGTGTCGTGATTCTCTTGTGCACGCCCCTTAAGAAAGAATAGTTTTTGACTACTTTACCCTTATTAAATATTTTCTTAATTTATGTGTCATCTCTATCAATGACATTATCCATATTATACTAAATGTGAATGCAATTAATTATTATGGGTAAAAAAGGAAAAATATAATCAATTTTGTCTTGAATTTCTAAAATAACAAATACTCCCTCCGTCTCATGATATGTGTCGTGATTCTTTTGTGTACGTCCCTTAAGAAAGAATAGCTTTTTTTTACTACTTTACCCTTTTTAAATGTTTTCTTAATTTATGTGTCATCTCTATCAATGATATTATTCATATTTTTAGTAGATGTGAATGCAAGTAATTACTAAGGGTAAAAAAGGAAAAATATAATTAATTTTACCTTGAACTTTTAAAATGACAAATAATTTGAGATAATTATTTTTAGTAACGAGGACAACTAATAATATGAGAGGAGCAACTAATAATACTTTAGAGAGAAAGAGAGAGAGCAAAAGAAAATGACCCGTGAGTTTATATATATAGAAAGAAAGCGGCGCGGCGAGGAAAGGAACAGAAAGAGGGAGTTTTTGCAAAGTTGCAGCAGGCATGGGAGCTCTGGCTCCACTTTCTCATTGGATTCCTGAAGATGACCTTTTGCTTAAAAACTCCATTGAGGTACTCAACCATTGCCTAGTCTACGGCTCCATGAATTTACATACTCTTTTTTTCTAGCTCCCTTTTATTTTACCAACTCTTTTTACCTTTACAATTTATTTATGCTTCTTGTGTTTTTTCCCCTTCTTTTAAACGGTCCAAATAGGTGGATATAGAGTATTCATACAGTGGACGCCAATTACTTTGTAATTGAAGTGTAATAGCTTTAGTCTGTTTTTGTGCTTCTTGTTTTTTTTTTCTTTCTCTCCATGAACTTATGCCTTTTATATTTTTATTTTTGGTAATGTAAGATGTCCAGTAGAACGGAGTGGATACAAATGATCCATATAGTCCATCCCAACTATTTAGGATTGAGGCTGGCAATAGTAATGTGTTTTTAGCTTTTATTTCTCTGTTTCTGGAGTTTATTCTTGAAAAGTTGTTCTGGGGTTTGCGTCGAGGTTCGGGCGATCTCACCAGCCCTTTTGTTCTGTTCATGCCCCGGTGCGACTTTGTACAGGGAATAAAGCTGATTTTATAATAAAGAGTGGGTAGTATCTTGTAGAACTGAGTTTGCTGAATGTTTTGGTCTTCAAAGAGAGAGCCCCTCATGTTGTTCTATTGATTTTGTTTCTCTACTAATTTTATTGTGTTGATTTTGCTTTTTAGTTCCAGAAGTCTGGAACTTTTTATTTTTTACCTTGTCTTATCAAAAAGAGATTTTCCATGAAGTATCTGTGCTTCAAGATTCTTTAGTTTCACGAGAGTTCAAGATTGAGATGGTGACTTTTATGCTGTATACATATCAGAGTATATGCATGAAAACTTTGTTTATTATGAGTCTGAAGATATGAGATTGCAGTAATCAATTGAACTGGTACTTAGCATGAAGCATTACTTGGCAGTAAAAACTACGGATATAACTTTCTAGTGCCTGGCCTATAGGACTGTTTGGCACATTGTTAAGCCCTTTTCCCCCCTTTGATAAATCAAAAGTTTCATTATTAAACACCACATTGGTGTCAAAAGTATGTAGAAGTTGTTAATATAGTATCCCCCAAGGGTTAGCTCCTTGTGCCTTAGGTCACAGGTTCGAGCCCTTTGCAAAGCAAACTAACTCTGGTATTTAATTGGAGAAGGGTGGGGGTGGGGGGTGGGGAGGGGCATCATCCCCGAGTTTCGAAGACTCGATTGGCCCAAAAGGTCGGCTCCAGTCGGATTTCTCGATCATTAAAAAAAAGTTGTTAATATGAATTAATCCGAGTACCTTATAAAAAAACAAAAAACAAAAAAAGAGAATCAATCCGAGTCATCCATGGTCATCTACCAAGTTTGTCAGCTATCTATACAGTAGTATTCTCTCACTGTTTCGAGGGCACTAAAAGATTCTTTGTATTCATTGTTAAGCTGATATGAACTGCTTTTCCAGAGAATATCCCCCTTCTTTTGGTATACAGGGCCCTTGTAAAGTGCCAGCACTTACTGGGTGGTTACCTTGATGAATAAGATCTTTACTTATCAAGAACTGAAAAAGGAAAAGAAAAAAGATATTAGCTTGACGACTCATTGGAAGCTGCCCTAACAGCAAGCTAAATTGTAGATCTTAGTTATATCTGACTTAATTTTGTAAGTAGTGCACTACTAGCTCTCTTCAATCGGCCCTGAGGTATGATAGCTCAATCAAGGATCTTTTGGGTGGTTCTTTGTTATGGGAAGAAATGGGGTCTCCAGGGACCAATCTATGGAAGAATGTATGCTAGGGGAATGAAGTGATTGGTTTAGTTGTTCTTTTTGGGATGGAAAAAGACACACACTATGTTAATGTACATGGAAGAAAGGATGTCCAATTTCATGCTGAATATTCATATTTGGCGGACAAACCTCTGATTGCTTCTCAAATTGTATAAACTAAAAGATACAGAAGATTTTTCTATTTAAATTGCATTATGAAGCCCATACTAGAAGTGATTAGAAGATAGGAGAGCTTGCCTCCTTGTTTAGTTGATGTATAATTGCGTAATGCGACAAAAGCATACTTAGAGTTGTCTAACATGTCAGTTGAAAAAATTCGTCTGGAAGATTAGCTTTGGGAATCGTAGGAAGTGGAAATGAGAATCAATGAGATATAAGCTTAAATAAGCATCCAATTTCTTAGTTATAGATGTGCAAGCAATGCCTCTTTTCTAATTCTGTACCAATAGTATTTTTCCTCGAAGCGTAGGAGTAAGTTGGTGGTTCTACTTCCATCATAGGATCGTACTGATAAAAATTATGAGATAACTATCCTGCTGTTTTATTTTTTATTGCCCTGGCATAATGATTTCATTTTCCCGTCTTACTCCAGGCTGGTGCTTCTTTGGAATCACTTGCAAAAGGTGCAGTTCAATTTTCCCGGAGATTTACGGTTCAAGAATTGCAAGATCGATGGCATGCTCTCCTTTATGATACAGTTGTTTCCGCTGAAGCATCAGCACTCATGATTGAGTTTGACCACTCTGCATCGACACCGAAATGTAATAGGTTTGAGAATTCCAAGGAAAGTAAAAAATCTGTTCTAATGAAGAGAAAAAGTGAGAGTATCCGCTCATGTTATTATGCTATGCGTAAGAGAATCCAGAATGACCCATTTGACTCGATGGATATGAATTTTCTTGGTGGAGCTGGTAACAATGACCAGCCTCAGTCTGTGGATTGTGTATTTATAGATTCAATAAGAGATACCTTTGGTAATCAACAATTAAATGTTGACGTCATATGCAATGGCATTCTGGAACATGGGCTTGATGATTCTGCCTGTGCTAGTGATGGTGTTACTGCTTCTCCTTGTTTTCCGATTGGACTCCGCAATCATAATGGAGACATTCCTCTTAGAAGCTTTAATGCTCCTGAGGACTTCCATAATTCTGGTGAAGAAAGTGTTGCCCTTACTGAGAATCAAAGCACTGTTGGAGAATTGGGCCAATTGAAAGAATTGCGTGTTTGTGGATTATTTGAAGCTGAGGCTTTAGAACCTAATTTGCCATCTATGACAGGTCAATATGGTGATAATTTGATAAACTCTTCTGGATTTGAAAGCCAGGTCTTTAACTCACCAGTTCCACATTGTGGTTTGTCATTTGACAACCTTGGTTATTCACCTACTCCACCTGAAATGCCAGATTGGAGTACAATTGGAGATATTTCTATCCCAGCTCTGCCTGATTTCGAGGAAGGACTGAATGTACAGAATACTTTTGCAGTTGCTATTGATGGCAGTACGAATAAAACAGATGCATCAGGATATGGTGTTGTAAGTTCAAAGTCCAACTTGAGAGACGATATGTCATGTGATGAACTGACAAATTCAGCACCTAGTACTGATGACTACTTAGCAGAGTTGTCAAAATCTTTGCTTAACTTTTCAGATGAGGAAGATCTATTTGGTCCTGATGGAAATGAAACGATCGATAAGTCTTATTTTGATGGCTTGAGCTCACTTCTCTTGGATTGTCCTGATGGTGGAGGTGACATGCCTGATAAAGGTGTATCGGAGGCTTCAAATGCTCCAGACGAACGGCTTACTATTCTTGATGATGCTTGTCCCAGAGAATTCAGTGACAAATGTGTGTACCAATATGGTGATAAGCCTCTAGCTTCCAGTTCAGAGTTTCAAATGCTATCCTCCGCATTAACTGTCAATCCGGCTTTTCCTGAAATGCGTGGTGGAGTTATTTGTTGCACATTAAGCTCTGAGGACCCAGAAGTTCCTAGCAATGATGATGTTTTTCTTCCTGTTCGGATGCCGTCAACATCATTTCCGTCTATGGCACATTGGAAATATGATGAGACTTATCATCCATTATCCTCGTCTGTCAAAGATTTGTCGATTAATCAAAGGACCAATGATGGACGAGCTGTCTTGATGAAAAATAACCAAAATAGTCATTCGGAATACAGTACTTATCAGATGATTGAGCCGCCGTCAAAATCGGAAATGTTCAATAGTGATCACAAAATTAAGCATGAGTTGCCCAACAATAATAACCAACATGTTCTACGGAGGAATCTGAACACTTCTGATAGTCCAAGGCCAGTCATTTCAGGAAAATTTAGTGCAGTAAATGCCTGTCAAGGAGCTATTAAAGAAAATATGGCAAAGGATGAACATGGAAAAAGTCTCAGTTGGAATTATGCTGATGCCTCCCAGTGCTTGGAGAAGAAAGCTATTTGCACCAAGGAACACAGCATGACCACCATCCTTCAAAAGAATGAACCTATACTTGCTGAAACTGTCCTCGTGAAAACAACAATCCCTGAAGCAAGTCCAAACAATTTTTCATCAGATTCGGAAGAGTTTCTTTATGAGAGTGATGAGGACATACCCTACTTTTCTGATGTTGAAGCTCTGGTGAGATCTTCTTTTCTGGTGTATGAATTTTACTACCATCATAGGTATTTGTTGACCTTAACCAGTTTCTTTCATCCTCCAACAGATCCTTGATATGGATTTGAGCCCAAATGACCAGGATATATATTCTAGTAAGGGAGGTGGGTTCCAGTTTTAATATATTTATTGAATGATTTACTTTTTTACTTCAACGATTTTCTATGAAGAGCTGATCTAGTCTTGATTATTTTGTTTTTACTGCATCACTTAGTGTATTATGCTTAATAGTTACTTTTTCTACTCATTCACTTCCTCCACTTCTTTGGCGGCTTTTTTGCTCTTTTGTAGTTTCTTTATTTGTGATTTTCAACCCTCTGTTGGTACATACTCTCTTACCGTATATTTTCTGTTTTCTTTCCTTTGATCCGTCTCTTTATTTTTTCCCCAGTCAAATCGTATCAGGTTGAAGATCCTAGAACGATCATCAGGCTGGAGCAGGCTGATCATGCTTGTGAACGGAGAGATATTGCTGCACATGGAGCATTTGCTGTCTTAGCTGGCCATCGCTCAAAGCATTTTATTAGAAAACCGGCGGTATGATTGATTTAATGCATTCTAACTCAATTATAGAATACCATACTAGACTATTAATAAATGCTTCCCTAGTGATCCTACTAGGCTGAAATGATCATCTAACATATACTATCAGCATAATTCATGTATAGTTTTAAAAAGCGAGAGCATGAGGCAAGATGCTTTATCGAATACGGGGTGGGTGGAAGCCTCGAGACGTGGGACGTAAGTCCCGGTGAATTTTTATATTTTTTATTTTTATAAATTAATAATATATTAAATGTATCTTTATCAAAAAATAATATATTTAATGTACAAAAAATAATTACGACATATAAAAATTGTCACAATTCCCAAACCACAACAATAATTACTCACGTCAAACTACATTAATTATACTTTTTACAAATGGCGGTCTAATATTCCAAGAAAAGGCTTTTTTTTTTTTTTGCTATTCCATTTTATTATTCCTAGTCCCCACATAGACCTATAGCCATTGAACAAAGCAACTAATTAAGTTTTGCATGTTCCCCTGTGTACTCTGTGACGTTCCTCCCATTTTGAATGACTGAGCATGTGCATTATTCTCAGTTCTTTATTTTGTTCATCTCAACAATTCAAGACTACAATCACAATGAGCACTGATGCTAGATTTCTTTGAGCAAACCCACCATCAGCTATTAGAACATAAGCCAAGTAACTCAAAACCAGGCAGATCCAAAGAAAAGCGGTTGACTACACTTCCTCCTCTTCCGATTCACTGGGAACCGTCACAACTGATGTTCTCTGAAGAAGCCACAAACACCACCGTCCTTTGTTAAAGACTTCTTTTCTTGAGCACCTGGTAAATCATTAAAGGTAAGTTGCAATTGTAGGAATTGCTACCGAGTTTTCACCCTGCTATTTAAGCTATATCCAGTTTTTCAAATTATTGAACTTGTAGTCAGTGTCGGCAAACTTCATACAAAGACATCCTACTCCTGCTCTTCCCCTCCTCCTCCTCCTCCTTCTTAGGGAAGTAAAACTATATAGTAGTTTTTTTTTTTGTTGGGCAACACTTAAAAGGTTGTTTATGGACTCTCTATATACAAGGGATTAGAAGAATATGCTCTTTGGCTTTACTGGGTCTCAGTAAAGTTTGCAGGCAATGAATACATAGATACATAGTGAAGAACAGTTTATTCTTCGCCTGAAAAGAAAACCTTGTCGCGGAGCTGCTACTATTGTTATAAATGCTGTTGTCAAAAGCATGGTAGGGGTGTAGTATTGCTGAACTTGCTGCATTGGCTGATGGTACAATCTATGTACACTGCCTGACCTTTGTGGTCTCTGAGATGCTTTGCTTTTGGCGATAAGTTACTAACTCTCTTCGAATAGGCTCAGATGCTCTATGGGTAATTCAAGCAACTGTTGCGAAGGAAAGATATCTTAGATGTGCTAAACCACACACTTAGTGAAGGATGCATGCAGTGATCAACAAATGTCTTAGCCTAGAACTCAGAAATAACTGAGGAATAAGAGAATCAAATGTATTTAAGAATGTCTTTAGAGAGAGAAAGCTGAGAAAAGTTTTGGTGCATAAACTGAGAAACATATGAACGAAATTACTGTCACCAGATTAACCAATTGATTAGAATTACTAACAAAGGACTTTAGCTTACCATCACAACCAAAACAATTAAGTATCCACTGAAGGGACTTACAGAAAATAGAAAAAGAGTATATCTTTCATCTAAATTTGGGCATGAAGTTAAGCATAAATGTCTGAAATTCAGACAAATGTTTGAAGTTTGGCTTTGGCAAGTGAAACTTCAATCCTGCAAGTCTAAAGGTCAGGCAAAAATGACTGAAGTTTGCTTGCAGCCTTGCACAAGCAATATGCCAAGCTTCAGACAAATTTGTAACTTCAGATGCCAATTTTGCAGCTTTAGTCGTGTAAGGGGAGCCTTGGCGTAATGGTAAAGTTGCTGCAATGTGACCAGGAGGTCACGAGTTCGAGCAGTGGAAATAGCTTCTTGCAGAAATGTAGGGTAAGGCTGCGTACAATAGACCCTTGTGGTACGGTCCTTCCCCGGACCCCGCACATAGCGGGAGCTTAGTGCACCGGGCTGCCCTTTAGTCGTGTATATATGAGTTGATTCTGAAGTGGCCAAATTTACCAAATATTTATGAACACCGGCTATGCCTTAAATAGGGGTCCCAAAATCGGCTATTTGTGCCCTTGCCCCGTTGCAATTTGGGGGAAAATATGTTTTGATTTATAAAAAAATGATGAGGGCTAGTGCAAAATTTCTTATCAAGCTTTTAGGGCATCCCCCTCGCCTGTGAGGCACAAGTATGCCTATGCACACACTTGAAGGATTGAATGATATGTCGAAGACAGCTCGGATAGACAATAGGATAAAGGGCTTGAGCTGAACTCTAAGGCAGGCTGTCACTTGGAGATCTCCCATTTACAATATGCAGATGACACCCTTGTGTTCGGTGAAGCTCATAAAGAATACCAACAAATGTTGAGGGTCACTTTATCATGTTTGAAGCCATTTCTGAGGAATAAAAGTTTTGTTTATCCGGTTAATGAACTTCAAAACTTGGTTGGAATTGTTGAAGGTAAAATTGTGAACTTACATACAATGTATTTGAGGATGTCTTTGGGGCCAAAAACAAGTCAAGGGATATGGAATGGGGTCTTAGAGAAATATGAGAAGAAGCTAGCAAATTCCCACATATACAATGTCTCTATTCCCAATACCACTGAATGCGGTGAATAGAATAGATACTTTGAAAAGAAATTTCTTATGGGTAGTAAACAGTAACAAGAAGAAAATTCACTTGGTTAGATGGAACTCACTCACAATTAAGAAAAAGGGAGGGGGATTGGGAATCAAGAACTTGACGATCCAGAATCAAAGCTTGTTGATACAGTAGTTATAGAAATTTACTTCAGAAGAACAATCTTTATGATGGAAGGAGGTAGTCAGCGAAAAATATGACATGGAAGGAAAATGGATAACCAAGCCTGTGAGAAATCCATATGGGGTCAGTTTGTGGAAGTCTATTAGAAACTTTTGGCCTAAGCTCATGAATAAGTCAAACTTCAGCGTAGAAATGGTATTAGAATATCCTTCTGGGAGGATAATTGGTTAGGTCAAGGATCGTTGAAACAACTCTTTCCTGATTTTTTTTTGTACTGAACCAACAACAGGAAGCAACAGTAGGAGAGGTTTGGACAAACCAACGTTGGATTCTGACCTTCAGAACAATACTAAATGATTGGGAGATTGACAAACTTAGAGAAATCTACAAGACCTTGAAACAATTCATAGGGACCTCTACTGCTGAAGATTGTGTGACATGGCAATGGAACAACAAAGGGAAGTTCTTAGTTAAAGCAACATATAGGAGTTTAGCATCTCAAACAATCAGGTTGGCTGCTGGCCATGGAATTTGATTTGGAAGGTTAAAATTCCTTATAAAGTGGCCTGCTTAAGGACAATTTGATCAAGAGAGGATACCAACTATGATCTAGATGTTAATTATGTGGAGAGGAGGCAGAGACAATCAATCATCTCTTTTTGCACCATAAGGTGACTTTTTGATTATGGAGGATATTCATCAATTTGAGGGGAATATTGTGGGTTATGTCAAGAAGAATTCCTGAAGTTCTACGTTCTAACATGCTGGAACTGAGAAGGCAACCTTTCCAGTCATAAAGAGATGAAAGATTGTCCCAACTTGCATCTGGGAAACAATTTGGGAAGAAACAAACCAAATATGCTTTCAGGATAAATACAGTAACACTGTGAAGATGAAAACAAAATGTTTAGTTCTTTTTTTATTTTTGGTATAAGGAGAATATTTAGATATCATGAATCTATTCTTGATATCTTGGAATCCTTATGAGAAGACAAAGGATTAGGAGTGTTTCTCTCCTGTAGGCTTCCTTGTAATTATGGGTGACTCTACAGTTTTAGTCTTTTTATTTATATAAAAATATGTTACTTTTTCAAAAAAAGTTGGGAAAATGCCTGACTGAGATGGTGAAGGTATGGTGGGTAATTAGCCTTATCATAGAAAACCTCAGAGAGCTACATTGTGCATGGCTTCTGAATGATTTTCTTAAATCTAGTAATGTTCATTTTGCCCAGTAGACTTCCTCTTCTCTCTGCTTAATAATCACGCCTGGCTCATTTTCACTTGGAGCAGAGTTAATTAGGGTTGTCACATCTTGTCTTTGGATTATATGGAAACCCAATCAGTGAGAGGAAATGCCAAGCTATATTTGCTGTTGCAAGATGTCCATACTCAAAGAATGTTTTACTCCCATTTTTATGTTGCAATTATTACTGCTAGGTCATAGGTAAAAGGGGAAAGCTGGAAATACTGAATTAGTGACTTTAAAAGATTAAGAGTATTGATGATGTTGCTGAAAGTGTTAAATCAGCTATTACAGCCTAGCTTTTCAATAAAAGTTCCATTTTTTCCTTGCATTCCCTTGAAGATTCAAAGTTTTTACAAAAAATTGGTCATCCATTTATCGGTTCAGGTGCTACTGGGAAGAGCATCTGCAGATGTTAAAGTTGACATCGACTTGGGCAGAGAAAGTCGCCATAATAAAATTTCTAGACGACAGGTATGTTCGGCTTGGACTCCAGCTGTATTAATCAAAATGAGCTCTTTTAGTTATTCAATTGATTCCAAAACTTTAAGTTAGTTCATTTGTTTTTCTAGCAAATAAAGAAATAGATGATGGAACAATTGACCGACTGTGATTATGTAATTTACATTTATGTTTCTTAACTAACATTTGCTCCATTTTCCTGGTTTGCTCACTATCTTCTGTAACTAAACCTTTTTTTTGCTAATGTTAACCTTCAACAAATTTATATTTGTAAATCTCATTGCTGACTGCAGTATACTTTTAATGTCCCTTTACTCATACTAGTCACTTGGTACATGTGTTTCACATATTGTAACATAGAACTCAATAACATATATAAAATGTTAGTGCCTTTGCATATCCTAAGATATTTTGGAGAATTATGCTAGAAGTAATACTTTTTGACCAACTTCAGAATTTGAATTCGAACAATATATAACGAACAAGTAGAAAACTAACCTCTTCTAGACGGGCAATCGCATGATTGTACTACTACATGTCAACCCTTTATATTGATTGCATAAGAAATAACGACACTATTTGACCTTAGCAATCTAGTGTAACATAAGTGATTTAATTTTTTTTTGAACAAAAGTGATCTAGTTACCATGTTCTTGCTTCCCCCGCATCTTTAATTATGGTAAGTTTTAAAAAAAACAAATTGCATATGAATGTGGTCTGAAAGGGTTCCTGGATGTATAGACATGTATTACATCGTTTGCAATTTCGTGGGCTGAGACTATCATACTACTGAAGAGCATAACGACATGATAACCCATATTTGCTCTTCTTGAATTGGGAGTCCGGACGAAGCCAGAGCACTTTTTTAGGGTAAAAGATAAGCATGTGGGTACTTAAGTGGAAGTCTCCTTATAGAAGTTAAATTGAATAGTTCAATTCGAAATCCTAAAAAATAGGCAAAGTTGTAAAATTAAAAACTTGAAAACTTGAAATTCTTCCTGTTGTCACCATATAAGGAAATATTAAATTTTTGCATTAACTAAAAAGGTCAAATAATGAGTATAAGGAAATAAAGCTTGGAAAATTGTTATAAAAAATTTTGAAAACTTAAAAAGGAGATCCACTGCATTCCTAATGTCACCAGAGAAGGAAATAATGAAGTCTTATATTTAATTAAAAAGTCTTTGAGAGTGTATTTACAGATTTCCTTAAGAAATAGTGAATCTTTTTATTAATTAAAAAGTTACTGTTTTCCCTAACGTGTTAAAAATCTTGAAAAATTGAAATAAAAACTTGGGGATGAGATTCACTGCTTTCGTAATATCACATACAAGGAAATGATGAAGTTTTATATTAATTAGAAATGATCAAATAATTAACACAACGAAATAATGAATTTTTTTTTCTAAAATTAATTTTAATCACAATTTTATCCCACATTGAATGCATTTACGAAGAATGAAATGGTCCAATATTTCATGTTGGAATTTTGTGCTTTTATGATAGTATAGACAGAAAGGTAAATATTTAAGGTTCAATGGTTGTTTGACATGCGCATACTTCCAGATGCCCTCATGTTTTCTTCTGATTACTTGTCTCTTTTTTTTTGGTTCCATTTGCTGCCTTAAAGTTGGAAGCATGAATCGTTTATTTAGGTTGGTCAAGTCATTTCATGTTTATAATCCTAAAAAAAATTTGCATCCTTGTATGCCTGCAAGCGTGCTGTACAGTTATGTGTCCATGGAGTGACATATTCATGTAACTTGCTTTATATAGGCAATTATAAAGATGGACATGGGTGGACTATTCCATTTGCGGAACGTTGGAAAATATTCAATTCATGTGAACGGCAAAGAAGTACATCCTAAACAGAGTCTAACCCTCACTTCTGGTTCCTTCATTGAGGTATGCTTCTTATTTGATGACAACTGAAGCTAGCTGAGTCATCTATCTCTTGCGTCTATTTTCTGAGCAAATTCTATATTATTCCTGTCATCGCTGAGTTACCTACCATATTAGCTTGTTCTTTAACTTAGCTGATCATGTGACCTTAGTTAATTTCCAATTTTTGTGACTCATTTCCAGTTTGGGACTAAAAGGTAATGACTGAGTTATCTAAACCCAAGCGTAGGTAATCATTTTTTCCTGATCTAAGTATCCCAAGCTTAGGTAGTCATCTGATGGTTATTATTGCAACCTGGATGATCGATGTAGAACCGTTTGTCACCCTTATCCTTTTCTTGTTTCTAGGAATCATGGGTGAGCCCTCCGTAAAATAGAGTTTATGAGTTGACATTTGAGCTGTTTGAGCTTTGCTATTTCAAGTGAAACTTACTCGTCGGTTTTTTTCCCCACCTCAATGAATTTTTATGTTGAATTTGTTGGCACGGTTGGTGGCTAAAATTGTGGTTATGATTTTGAACAATCTGCTAAATCATTTGTCACTCTCGAGTCATAGGCAAGTAGTTGCATGTTAACATTCAACATTCTATTCAGCTTAAAATTTGTGGTGTAAGTTCTTTTCTGTCCTTAATTCTAGAGCTTCAGTTTTGTTTTATGAGATGTAGTTTTCTTTGGTTGTGATTAGAACTTCAGGCTCTTTATTACGCATCCCAGACCCCACTTGTGGAATTTTACTGGGTCGTTGTTGTTGTTGTTGTTGTTCTTTATTACGCATGTTGCGGCATTCACACACGTTACTATGTTACATTGTTGCTAACATTCTTTGCTACTTGGTGCTTTATTTTCATTGTTTCTTGAGCCGAGGGTTTATCGGAAACAGCCTCTCTATCTCTATGAGGTAGGGGTAGAGAGGCTGTTTCCGAAAGACCCTCGGCTCAAGATAATAAAAAGACAAAAGGAGAGAATATTAGATTCATCACGGAGATCATAGGAAAAATAGGAACATAAAATGCAGAAGAAAAATGCAAAGCAAAAACGATGGCTAGTAAGTGGAACCTGCGTCGAAAATAGAAAATAGTAAGAAACGACATTACCCCTAGCTATCTTAGACAAAACCCTA